GGTTGGCCGTGGAAGTTGAATTGTGAGCTGAGGTATGGGGTTGGTTTTCATCTCCTCCTTCTGCATGATCCTGAGGTGGAAATTGAGGTGGGATCAGAGGTGGGATCAGAGGTGGAAGGTTGTTGAGGGGTTGACCTTGCCCATGAGGCAGAGATGAATTACCAACTCGGATCGATCGAGTGTGAACCATGACGGAAGAGCAACTAGGGAGCTTTCAGTTCTATTCCCACAGACGGCGCCAATGTAATTGCATCAAATCAGAAGTCCTTCTCTAGTCCACGCTTGTACTCCGGGATGACCTGCAAAGCCCCGAGGTGGAACTCGAGGTAGACACTCCGATGCTTAAGTCAGCAATAATCGGGGCTACCTTTAGGGCGGAGATAAAAAGAGCTTAGGGTTGGTTTCAATTACCTTTTTTACGTGGCCCAGAGGGGTATTTATAGGATCCAATGAGGAACCCACGTGGCATGCCAAGCAAGATAATCGGAGCCTGACGTGTCCATCCAGACAATTATTTCGGGACCGGGAATTTGAGAGGTATTCATACATACGAATGTCTACCATACTTGCTGTGCCGCTCATCATAAGGAATCAGGTGCGGGCATGCTTATTGTCATTGTCATGCAGCTATTTGAGCGGGAAGTTTTGGATTTATTCCTCACTTCGGTCATAAAGGAATTACTGTAACAGTCCGAGGCTTGGCACCTCGGCCCTGTCCTTACAACTTCTCAAAGAATTTGTAGTCATTAGGCCAAAATGGGTTTTTTTGTTTTTTCATTAATTTCTCAGTATTTAAAAGCCATATTAATTTTGAATTAACTTAAAGTCAAGTAGCTTTAGATCTCCTAACATCGCAGCACTAAATGCCACCATACTAAAAACCTTTTGTTTTTTTTTTTTTTCTTTTGAACTAGTATACTTAAATGATGGAAAATGAGATTACAATACTTGAATCTTAAACTTCTAAATCCCAACATACTTCTCAAAGGATCTGTCGCCATTGGATCAACATGGTTTTTTTTTTTTTATTAATTTTTAATATTTAAAAATCATATTAAATTTAATTACTTTAGAATTGAACTACATATAAATCCCATAAAAAAAATTTTCAACACTTATTTTATCATTTAGAAAATTTAAATTTAATATTTTATTAAAAAAATCAAGTTACTTTCGTTCAGACCAAATCATTGTATGGGATTAAGGACCTATTTAGTACTGTTTATTGGAACTTTTATTTTTAGAGTATTATTTATAAATGATAAGTTTAAATTTTTATTTGAGAAAAAATTTAAAAATTATTTTAAAAATAAAAAAAATTTATGAAAAACTTAAATTTAAAACGTTTGATATTTTATTGTTTAGTAAGAAAAAAATTTTAATTTATAAAATATAATTAATATCAAAAAATTAAAGCAATTGCGAAGCTGAACCAAACACACCCTAAAACGGTAGTTGGCCAGTCTGTATCTGTTGTGGTAGCAATTTTTTGTTTTTTGTTTTTTTGTTTTTTGTTTTTCTTTGCTTGTTTGTTTGTTTGTTTGTTTGTTTTTTTTTTCCTACGGCTAAGGTGCAGACGAAAGAGGAAAACGTTGACAAAGGAATCTCGCTTCGCTTCCCGCTGGTTTCGGACTTTCAAACTCTCCGCAACACATAAATAGATAGGTTACTCCCAAAGTCCCAGGTTTTAAAACAAAGTAAAATAGCCGTAGATTCTTTTGATAAACCCTAGGCGGATTCTTTTTCCTCGCTCCTCCTCCTCCTCCTCCTCCAGTGTCTCCCGCTCCTCATCCGATTCTTTTACTCTTTCTGCTCTTTCTACTCTGGTACGGTTTCTTGATGTTGCTTTCTCACTCTTTTCAATTTCGAAACACAATTCCAACTAAAATCCTTGAATTCACCCCAAGCGATTCTGGGTTTTCTTAAAAAATGATTTACCTCCATGATCAGGAATAAATCTATAATTCATGCAAGTTTTTTAATCTTTTCGTAACTGAAATCGTGATAAAGAAATGATTTTTATGTTAAATTTTCATAAATTCAATTGACCGAATTTTGGGTTTCTTTTTTTATGAGCTGTTTATTGGATTGGAGAGGGAGAATTTATATCTAGTATCTCAATTATGAGGGAATTCATGAATGCAGATTCCTCTTTTGGGTTCAATCAATGTCTGAGGGACGCCGAGTGAGCCTAAGACTCCAGACTATACCACAAGAGAAGAGACCGTATTATGGTAGTCCTCCGAAGAGATCAATGGATTCTGCAGATGAATTCTGCAAAAAGAAAACTAAAGTTGATGATAAGAAAGTAGAATTTTCTGAAGATTCCTCGCCCCTTGAGAATGGTGAGGTAAAGGGTTTGGATTTAGAAGAAACTGTGGGGAAACGGACTGAAGATTCTTACTTTTTCGCTGATCTTCGGGGTTTAAGTACTGTACTGAGACTGAGAGAGACACTCAGGCGGTTCAATTTGTATGTCTTAGCTAAGGTGATAATTGATGTCATATTGAATTTCTTGTCTGAGTTGCTCTGTTTTAATTTATGTGTTTTGCCAGTTAATGCCGCCTTTAGTTGGGGCTTGGGAAAAAGGGTAGGATAATGTGGATGATTTTTGGTGCCACTAAGGGTGATTTAGAGTCAACTGCATCATATATATTATATTATGTTTATTTGGCCCAATAAGTAATCAAAATCATGTTGATTTACTTAATTTGATTTTGTATCTAATTGGTGTTTGCTATTAAGATAGATTGTTTCTCTCATTTATGGTCTCATTTTTGCTATAATAACTATAAGTTTAACAACATAATGGCTTGTCTACACATGTCAACAGGAAGGAGATAATTCGTGCAAGAAACCTCAGGTTGGTTATCCCCAAATCCCTACTGGTTATCTTTTCCTTTGGCTTCATTTTTTTTTGCATATTCTGTTGGAGGTCATTGTTGTTTACTGTTTAGTTATTGGATCATAAAATGTTGCTGTAATTTGATTTTAGGTCTATATAGCATTTGTGTCTTTATTTAGATTCTTCTCACTTATGATCTTATCTTCATGAACTAAATGGATAAATCTCTTTCATTTTACATCTAAAGGACTTGCAATTATCATTCTTGATAATTAGGATAGTCTTGCAGAAAGAGGATGCAAGTAATCTTGATACTAAGCAATGTGATTCCCCTGATATTCAGGCAGCATCACAGTCTAGTCTATCTGCAGGAAGCTTTCAGAATGGGTTTTCTTTGTCATACCATTACTAATTCATGCAATGATATCAAGTGTTTCAGTTTTAGTTTGCGGCAGTGGAATGATTTTCAGACTCAGTCTCTGATATTTATGACTATTATGCTTGGTTTTGATGTAGTGATGCAAATGCACTCAATTATTAGTGCAAAAGCTGCTGCCTAATCATATTTACGCACAAGGTTGTTATTAGGAGGATTTCCATTTGAAAGGATCACGTTTAGTTTCTTGAAGTCATGTAGATAGGTGGAAAATATTAATGAGACCCTATGCCCGTGCAGATACTCATTAAGGCCCTTTCCATAAGTTTTCTAGTTATTAATAATGTCAAGTGAGAAAATTTCTTATTCTCTATTACCACTAGAGTGATTTTGAGGTTATAGGTACTTGTTTCTTTTACAATGTAAACTTTCAAATAATCATGTGATTGATTGCAAAAAGAACATTTATTGTCATTTTCTGATTCTAATTAAGTTTTTCTCTTTGTAAATTTATGACAGAAGAAGGAGGGAGTTATATACCTTAAAAAGAAAATTGGGGATGTAGAAGGTTGGTAAAATAGTTGTTTCTTGCATGTATTTATATTGAAGTGCCATTTGGTTGTTAATGAGTTGTTTACAGTTACTAACATTGAAACATCCACATATATAACATCTAAAGTGTTGGCTTTGATTGTATTTTGTAGGTTTTAAAGTTGGGCATCGATTTTCTTCTCGAGCTGAAATGCTTGATGTAGGTTTTCATGGACAGGTGCAGGGTGGAATTGATTACATGGGAAAATCTTATGAGAAATTGGTATTGTATTCTGATTGATTGGGTAATATTAGAAATGTTTACCTGCTTCTGTCAATGTTTTTCTTATTGGTAGTTGTAGTGGTTGCTAATTGTTTGTTTAATTTATGTTGTTGAAAGGGTGATATAACCATATATGTAAATGATGCCTCATGCTGCATTAAAAAATCTAAGAAATGAAACACCGTACATCACTAATTGACTTAAAAAGGAAAAAATTAGCTTAAAAAAATGGGGGTGATATAGTGTGAGGGAACAGAGTGGTTGGAGAAGAAAAATATAGGCAACAATGATAGTGATGTTTTTTATATATAGTGTTTTCTTATTAGACATAAAGGTGTAAAAACATATATAAATCATTCTTTATTTGAGTGGGTAGCAGTAGTGTGGGTGGGGACCTTGTTGAACCTAATGATAGTGGCTATGCATTCATGTTTGCTGTTGATGGTAGTAGAGGATTGGCAGTTTACAGTAATCCAACGTAGGCATGAATCATGGAGGTTAACAGAATGGAAAACATTTGAGTAAATTTTTCTTAATATTATGACCCATAAGAGTATTTGACATTATGTGCTGTAAGGTTATTTGTTAATGTTAGAATATCAAGTTTTCCATTTTAGATTGTACCCATGAAAGTAATATTCTGCTTCTTTGATGTCGGAGAAGTTAAAGTGGTGAATTGACATGCTACAAAGTAATCCTAAATTGCTAATATCCCCTTATGTTTTTAATATGACTAGAAGGTTGGAAGGCTAAGTAGTAAGTGTTACTTCTAGTAGGTTTCTTAACTGGATAATGAGCTGCCAAATGGTGAGGGCTGGCGGTGCCAATGGATGTAGCCCTTATCTAACAGCTTGGACTTGAACTTGATTAGACTTGTCTTGAGTTTTGTACTAGACCAGCTTGAAGCACTCAGGTCTTGTGTCAGACATGTGTAGTATTTTGAGCTCAAACTCAATCAAAAAAGCTTTCAACTCCAAAATGTCCAAGATTAACTAACTCAGGTTTATATTTTTTTGAAAAAGGCAAGCTATCCACTAGGTTCAAAAATTCCCAAAAGGGATTTACATTCATACCCAAGATACCTGGAATTTCATATCCATCCTCTTTACTTATTTACGTTTAAACTCTTAACTGCACAGCTCAGGTTAGTATATAAGTTTGATATTATAAAAAATTTATATCATTGCAAATTAAACTTATTACTAAATTCATTTTATTTTAAAAAAATCATAATAATATGATTTGATTTAGCCTCAAATTCAAAAATATTTTTTATAATCAATTTGAACTTAAACCCAAAAACAAAGATAGAATCAAACTTGAACTCATATGGATTTTACTTGAGCTTGGCAGAGCTTAGCTAACATCAAGCTCAACCCATCTTATTTGCTCTTTAAATTAATGGCATCTAGATTTAGTAATAACTGATAGTATCAATCTAGAAAGCAGTCATAGACAAAAGAAACAATGCTTGAGAGGAAAGTGAATCATTTCAAGGTAGTATAGAGTTGCATTTGGAAACATCTTCAATATAACTTGTAAAACATAAGTTTAATTTATAAAATCTTTCTATTACACCATATAAATTCAGGGTGAAAGCTTTCACTTAGGGCCTAATTGGTTTGTTAGGAACTTGGAAAAACTTTCCAGGGAAGCCATCCAAATTAGGCTGCTCAGCATGGTCTGGGATTTTGAATCAGGGAGCAAAGCTAATGTAATTGATTATTAAGGAACATAATTGATTATTTTTCCTGAAAACCATTTCTAGGTCAAAAATGCCAGAAAAAAATCTTCCTGGATGTATAATTGACTACATTGTCTTTATAATTGATTATATCAAAATAACCACTCACTTACATTTCTTTTGTTGTTGGTTATAACTTCAAAAAAAATTCTTATTTTTTTTCTCCCCAGAATCATTTTTTCATGGATCAAGCCTTCAACCCTTCAATGGATGGCTTCCCTGGAAAAGCTTTCCAGGTTCCTAATAAACCAAATAGGCCCTTAGAATAGGTTGTACGCACCTGCCATTTAGACAAAGAAACACGAACTATAGGGAGTTCAACTACTGTTCTGTGACACAATTCTTTTTTTTTTTTTAATCATTGGTTTGTATGTAATGTTTCTTGCTTGCCAAAAATGCTACTCTTGTGGGATATATGGAAAACTATCTATTTTTATGGTAAACTATCTGCATTGTATGGTTTTTGTTTAGAGAGTAGTGATGCAAAGGATCCAAATTTGGGACCAATGATGAGGTGTAAGCCATGTCATTAAATAAATTGATGCTAACAATATCATTGGTCCTAAAAAGTGAAAAGGGCCAATCATTAAATAATATAGGGTGCACATTTTAATATTTTAAATTATGTGGCTTATGCCACGTCATTGGTCCCAAATTTTAGTCCCAAAATTTTTGTCCCATTTATCATCATCCTTGTTTAAATAGTCTCATTGAATATTGCAGGAAGAGTACAAGGGCTATACATTCCCACTTGCAGTATCAGTTGTACTATCTGGCAAGTATGAAGATGATCTTGATAATATGGAAGAAATTGTTTACACAGGCCAAGGTGGAAATGATTTACTTGGTAAAAAACACCAGGTTGAAGATCAGGTTCTACTTCGCGGTAATTTGGCTCTCAAAGTACGTAATTATTTCACTCATGACCTTCGATTGTTCCATTATGCTGGCCTCTTTTAATGCTTAATTGCTTTACAATGAAAATTTGCTTGTTGAGAGGTCTTGATTGCAAATTTAGCTGTTCAGAGTTCAACTTGGATGATGTTTCGAATGTCATCTGCACACTTATGATCCTTTAACTAATAAAATGAGTTAGGTGGAAACTACTGAATTGCATAGAGTTTTATTTGATTAAATTATCTATCATTTAAAAAAATAGTCAGTCTTCAGTTTTGTTCTGTAAAGATATGGAGGATGTTACTTGCTTCATGAATTAGCAAGAAACAAACCTCACCAAAAAACTAAATTGATGAGAGATTGTTTAAGAATTCATTTGGAATAAAGTAAAAATATATCTTATAAATTCAATTTTTAACTCAAATTAAGAAAAATAGATTTTGAATTTGTCTATTGGGGGTTGTCCCAACAGTTAGAGCATGACTTTCCAAGGTTTCAAGTTCAAACCTTGGTAGGGATGGGGAAGGCTATCCCTTGTTGTATTTTGCCCACACTCAAAGGTACCAAAAGATTGTACATCTAAAATATTGAGTTAGATGACTAATGTTATAGATGGCCTTTTTAAGATTTCATTTTTTCTTTTTATGCAATATTCAGATTTGATATCTACTTCCAAGTGCTGCTTTACTAAGGTGTTTCTTTTTTCTTTTCTTTTCTTTTCTTTTTCCCTCCTGCAGAATAGTATTGAGCAGTCTGTGCCTGTCAGAGTTATCCGTGGCCATAAATGTCGCAATAGTCCAGTGGGCAAAGTTTACATTTATGATGGCTTGTATGAGGTAAGAAATTTCCTTTTGTGTTTGATCACTAATAATGAGTTCAGATTGCTTAAGTTCAAGAATCCTATGTTATACCCAATCATGGGAAGTTCATTATGTATTTGGTGATTGTATGAATGGTCGTGTAATACAGCATTCATGGTTGGTATGACATTTGTATCCAAGCACGGACATGCAGACATGTGTACTCACTCACATACACACAAATAAAATTATAATATGATATCAGAATCTGTACTTTTGTTTTCTATGTTCCTTTTTCTGGTTATTATCTCCTCTCAGTCAATTCCTTTTTATTTCTTGCTAGGAATACTCTGGTTTTTTAACTTTCCATCAAGAACTCTAATCATTTTTCTGGTAGTTGCAAATTTGAGAATCTTAAAGTTCACATTCTAGGTCCTTCTATGGAAAGGTTAATCACTGCAAGTGCTTGGTGGCCATTCGCAAATATTAGGCAGTTTTATGTGAATAGTAAACTAATAATGGGTAAATTTTTTTTTTCACTTGCATGCAAACTCATTGGGTAGCTTTGCTTTGTTCTTTCTCTTTGTATAGGTTGTTAATTACTGGTCAGAGATAGGTATTTCTGGATTCAATGTTTTTAAGTTCAGGATGAAGCGGCTTGTTGGACAAGAAAAATTGACGAATCATAATCAGGTTATCATTTTTTCCTTGCAACTCTTTTGAAAGGTTCATGCTTACTTCATAGGTCATGACATTTAAATAGACTATTTCATCTAGGGATAAACACAAAATGATGGAAGACTTTGGTGGACAATATGTCTTAGCCCTTATTGCCCCTTTGTTCATTAGCATTCATGTTTGTCTGTTCATGTGGTTGCACATTTAGCTCGTTATATATCATATATAGGTGCTGAAGGCACATTTACTTTACTATATTAGGTAGTTTTAACTGGATTCATTTATCTTTGGTGACATGAACCTTGTTATATTTATTGCTATTCTTACTCTTCTGTTGGAATTCTGAATTTAGGTTCACTTTATCCACAAAAAACTTTCTAGAGTTGTCCCAGAATCACCTAGGTACGAATTTGCCTTTGTTTGTGCTTAAATACATTTATAGGTAAGTAAGATAAGTGAACTTCCTTTGCATACATTAACCACATGACAATTAACTTTAGTGTCTTGTTCCCAAGCTTTGTTTGCAAGGACATATCCAATGGTCAAGAAGCTGTACCCATTCCTGTTACCAATTTGTACGACCCTCTTACGGTTCCCGTAGGCAAGTTCACCTTTTTGTAGTATCAACTTGTGATTCCCAGTGTGGACCAGATGTTGCTTTTCCTAGCTAATTATTTTCTGCATATTGTTCAAAAGCTATATTCACTTATTCACCAAGTACACTTACCAAGCTTTATACTTTTATCCCTACTTATTTCCACTGTGTGTTGATCAAATATTTACAGGCTTTCAATATATCAAGTCAAATCAAATTGCAGAAAATGTTAGCCTTCCCCCAGAGGCCCCTGGATGTAAATGCAAAGGAAATTGTACTAATACAAGAACTTGTTCTTGTGCCCACCTTAATGGTGGTGACTTTCCATACGTGAAAGGAAATGGTGGCAGGTGACATGGTCATAAATTTCTTTTACTACTTTGCTTGATTGAGTCCCAAGCATATAGAAATCTGCAATGGTTGCTATTTTGAATATTTTGCTCAGTTTAAAGTGATAATTCTTATGTGCATTCATGTCTATTGATTAAGATCCTTATAATGGCTCCCTTTCTTTTTTAGTTTTTACATGTGTACTTTCTCTGTTCCTTTTCAACCCTCATCTTGTCATTAATTTTCTCTCTTTCAAGCTGTTGGTAGATTAATTGAACCAAAGGATGTTGTATTCGAATGTGGTCCAAATTGTGGTTGCGGACCTGAATGTGTCAATCGCGCATCTCAGAAGGAGTTAAAATACCACCTTGAGGTGTAATAGTAACCAAGCAGCAGAATGTGAATATGTAGTAAACTTTTACACACTCAATAACCTTTCTTTGTTTGTTCCTTTTTGGAACAGGTCTATCGTACTGAAGAAAAAGGGTGGGCTGTTAGATCATGGGACTTTATTCCTTCAGGCTCACCCATTTGTGAATATATTGGTGTTCTGAGGAAGAGTGATGAATTAGAAAATATATCAGAGAATGACTACATATTTGATATTGACTGCTGGCAAACAGTTAAAGAGATTGGGGGAAGAGAGGTACCAATATGTGTATGCAAGACAATTTTAGTTGATTTGTTTTATTATGGTTTGATATGCTGGATCTGGATCATTTAAGTCTTTAACATATGAAAGCATGTAATTTCATTGTGGTGAGATTGTTTGCTCAGCCTTGCATGCTAATTGATGATGGAGGTGATAACCGTACAATTTATGAGTTGATAATATTTCAAATTAAATCATGCTAAATTGTTAGAGAATATTTTGAGTTAAATACAATCCATATGTATTATAGTTATTGAAACAAACAACCACTCCCATAAAAGTGCTCTCTTAACTCTATCCAGATGGAGTCTTGCACTGCTATCAACATTCCATTTTGGTTTAGTTCTTCTTAAAACTTTATCTCTTTTTTCCTCTTTCTATTATTTTATTTTCAGTATGTTTATCTAAAGTATTTTTTGTTGCAGAGGCGCTTAGGCGATGTGTCTTTTCCTACCAGTAATCTTCTGCATGAAGTTGATGAGAAAAAATTAGAAAGTGAACCTGAATCTGAGTTTTGTATAGATGCTGGTTCCTTTGGCAATTTTGCCAGATTTATTAACCATTGCTGTGAGCCTAATCTCTTTGTTCAATGTGTTTTGAGTTCTCACCATGATATTAGACTTGCTCGGGTGGTGCTCTTTGCTGCAGATGATATTCCTCCTATGCAGGCAAGGTTTTATATCTTATTTTGCTTATCTTTCTTTTCTTTAATATATATATATATATATATATATATATTTCTCAAGTGTGTTTCTAGCATCATTGTTAACTATTATAAAAGAGTATCAGGTTGTTTTTTGGAAGCTAAGCAAAGTAAATGAAGAATGATTTGAGAAATTAGCCTGCCTTACTCTTGTAATGGGCTGATGCTTAAGAGAATGAACAATTTTGGGATTAAGGAGTAGGATCATGGGTTTAGAGTTTGTTGTTGAATTAGATTTAGATTAATTGGGTTAGAGCCTAAAATAGTTGCTAACTGTTGCTGTGAATGGTAATCCTTAACAATCTAACAGTAAAGGAAGAAATTGAGAGAAATAAGAGCATGCCATACATCTCCAGGCATCAATGTACCAATAGATATCATAATGCTCCTTATCATTATCAAAGGCCTAATAAAGTTACGGAGAGTTCATGGTATTCAATAGAAACGCTTTCCCCAGTTCTTAACCCAATTAGGATTAGGAGTCTATATGTGATGTACTTTTAAGAAATACTCGGGAAATAAGCCTACAAACCCTATGGTTGATTTAGGTGTATTACACTTACAGATGCTCAAATGTTCCAATCCAAGTACACAGTTTAGTAGAAACTGCATGAATCCAGGCGTCTCCTTTTAAGAACTGGATTTCTCTAACCTCATTTTCCGTTCTTATGCTTCATGGTTTGTCATACTTAGATTTATATCCAGAATAACAAATTTTCTTACTTTGTTACAAACAGGAACTCACATATGACTATGGCTATGCTCTTGATAGTGTTACTGGCCCCGATGGTAAAATAAAACAGCTTCCTTGCCACTGTGGTGCTGCTGAATGTAGGAAACGTTTATACTAGGAGGTTGATGATTCTGCATCATGGTAAGCATCTCTCTTGTGGCTCTAGAAGAGTTGACAGCTAGGACAAGAGGACCATGTTAGTTCTTACAGTCTTGATTTTTTGTTGCCAGCTGATCAGTGGTTACATTACCTTTAATTCTTTTAACCATAATAGTAGTCCTTTGGACTAATAATCAATAAAATGTTTTTCTGCTTTCTCCTTTTTCTTACTGTCACTTATCAATTGGAATGAAGTCTATCCATCCGCAAGCATGGATCGAAATTTTCATCCTTTAATATTTGATGCATTACATTGTTTCCCCACTGTTTGGACTTGAATGGAGAAAAGTTGTTTAACAAAACAGAATAAACGTGTTTTATGTTGTAGTTTTGGTAAAAGATAATTAGTCTTGTCTGCCACTTAACTCCAATACAAATATGATGCGTAAGAGGAAAGGAAATCCAATTCAATTCTGTGGATTTGGCTTGCATATCCCTTTTGACAAAAGATACAGCTCTTATTATTTATTTGTTTACTTTATCTTCTGTTTCCATTTTAAGATGATTGATTAGCACTTCTTAATCCAGCCATAATATCACCTGATTTACACAATTGTCACGTTCATCTGGAGAGTTGTACACAGCAACACTATGCTCTTTTATAATTGTTAGTTCCCAAACACTGCCCTTCATGCTTTTTCTCAATGCTGAAAATTGTTCTGCAATGTTTGTGTCATTCATGAAACCTCCATATCTCTTCACTGCAGCATACTGGTATTTAGGGAGCTTCACAGGATGTGCTGGTTGGATTGAGGAGGGTTGTCCTGGTACTTCTGGGGCAGGTAGAAGTACACAACAAAGGAGGAATTATGTCTTGTTGAGGGATATATGTTGGTTAAAACTGGAGCAGTCATGTTGATTTTCACTGCTTGATCATTTTTCCCTTGAATAAATGCATATAGGCTGGTAAAGAGAAACACAAAGTAAGAAACACAGATTAACATTAATCAGAAATGTTCTTTTCAGTTTGGACTGGAAATGACTCAAATGCCCTTTCAATCATTTTTGAAATGCAAAGTATTAAGGGCATTTGAGTCATTCTCATTTTGAATTGACATTTTTTGTTTTGTCAGACTGGATTGAAAAGAACAATTCTCTAATGTGAAAGAATCAAAGGGGAATATGTTGTTTGATTCAAAAGGGGGTTTTTGATCAATTGGTTGAAGAATAGTATCTTCAAAGCCTATTAGGTGCATCCGTGCATGGTATGTCACAATTGAACATGATTAGTTCTTTTAGAGCTGTTTAAAAAGAAAAAAAAAAAAAGGGTTTTGGTTGCATTATATATATTAGCTTAATTAAAGTCGGGAAGTGGAGGGTTGAGAATCAAAAGCTTTTATTTATTTATTTATTTTGTAAAGAAGAGTAATGGACAATCCCTTTCTTGGTTGTGACTCCTACATCAGTGATAGACAAATTATATGTTAATGACATAGGATTTACTTACACCATTTTAATTGAGGTTTTGTTTGGTTTAACTAATAAAAAATAACTATAGCTGTTTCCTTTAACATGATAAAAAAGGACGTTAAAATCATTGATAATAATAATAATAGCTATTAATTATTAGATATTAACTATCAGATATTACTTGTTATAATTAAACTAAACCGTCCAAATCATGCTTTTCTTTATAAAAAAAAACTTACACTCTAAAGCCTTCACCGCCTTGGTCCAGGTAAGAGCCAGGAGCAGCAACCCACAGTCCCACATAGCTGGTTGACATCTTCTTATTTCATACTCTTGTTGGGGGTGAATAACTTGATATGAGTAGGTGCCCACAATTCACAGGCTCTTGATATCCCTTGCCTTTGCTTTGCCCTATTGTCATAAATAATGCTATTCCCAATACAAAACAAAATAGAACCCTTCCCTAGCAAAGTCCATTTCTGCTTAGTTAATTACCTTTTGCCTGCGAATTTGATTTTATATCCCCTAATTGTGTCATGTACAAGATATTCATGTGATCCTCCTTGTGACTGCGTCTAGAAGGATATTTAAAATTGTATCTAGTTGACAGTTGACATCCTATTTGTGAGTGTATATAGAAAGATAATTTAAACTATCTCTGTTTCATGCTTTTGCATTTTTTTTTTATACAGTTGAATTATACAATAAAAAATAATCCACTTGTTTTAGAATTTGAATTTAAAACCTCTTATATAAAGACTCAAACTTCTAACAACTAAATGTCTATTATGAACTTTGATTCATATAAATTAAATCCCATATCTATTTATGTATCGCCTATAATTTTTTTACACAATTTTAAGAAATATTCTTATACAATATATGAATGACAATTGACTTTTTTATAAAATAAAACTACTTAAAGAAAACTACAAAAAAGAAAAAAATTCAATTGCAATTCATACGCTATATATAAAAATACAACTCAAATTATGTATAAAAGTCAAATGTAACAAATAAAATAAATACATTTAAAAGGGTTAACCTTTTCCATCACGATAGATCTCTTCAAAGACAAATCCCACAATTGAACGCAAATCCTACCCTGGCATTGAATTTGTTTCTTGTTCATTCCCTAGGGAGTCTTAATTTTTAATTTTGTGTTAAACAAAGAAGGGATACCAATATTCGGTCCTTTGTCTTTGTGCCATTGCTTAGCTAAACACGTTTAAATGAAACTCAAATGAATCCCTTTACGCTAGGTTATATTTGCAGGGCAGTGCTACATATTTTATTTATTTGTTGGTTGCTTCAATTAATACTCAAATATGGAATTGGCCTTCAAAGCTCATAAAAACAATTTACTTGCGAGAGAAAAGAGCTAAAAAATTCAAACTCTTTTAATTAATACTAATAGTCAAAACCCAACCACCTTAATTTTATAATTGTAACTTCAAATCTCTTGCTTTTTCAAGCTATTTTACTTTTATATGTTTTGCCACAAGTTGTCAATTTTAAAACGTTACGGGTTCTCCTTTGTGGCCGTGAGAGGCTTATTGGCCCTCGGTATGAATAGTATGCTTCTTCTGTTTTAAGCCGTTTCTTATTATTATCATTTTTTTTTTAATGATCACGGTATAGTTGTATTAGTTTTTAAGCAGCTCAACTTAATGCATTCTTGATGCATTTAAAAAAATTAACTTTTTTTTTAGGTATTAGTTTTAAAACTTGAATTATGAATCTAACTTACAAAATCATATTTATTTATCAATAAATTCAACTTTTGAGTTTGTCTCATTATGTGCTTATTCGTTGATTTGAAAGGTTACAATATGACTTTAGAGGTTGATAAAATAGATAGTATATACCCCATAAGTTTTGTGTCCATTATTATTATTTTTTTCATTTAGCAGTCAAGGTTTTTAGGTATGTATTTATATGCGTTTCAATAATTTTTCTTTAGTTCAATAAATAATAAATCATTAACATCAGACTAAAACTAAAGAATTTATGAAAAATTATTTTTTTATTGACTTTTTTAAAAATCAAAACTTAGTCAACAAGGTGGAGATTAAACTCCATATATGTGGCCAACTAATTAAATCACAATTTCACAGGTGTGTCCTTTATTTTCTTGTTAATGCTTTGTGTTGAACTTGATCTGGTCCTTGGAAGTTAAATTTCTAATTTTTAGAAGTTAGTCCACTTAAAATTTTAACTGCATATTAGAATCCTCCATGTATAAATTCAAAAGAATCAACCAAGATATCAACATTTCCAGAAACAAAGCACATTGAATTTTGAATTCCCTGGAATAAGGAACTTTGGAGATGAAGCACCACTTCTTAACATAAGCCATCAATTGCAGCAATCAGTCCCATCCAAATTATGATTCCAGCAACACGAGTTTGAAATGATCTATTATCTGTGATTAGTGTTTAGGATTATGACTTAATTTTAATTAATTAATATTAAATAGGGGCGTGGGAGACATCACTAAGCTCTTAATTGCTTCTAGTATTAATCGCCATTATTAGAGCATTATTCATAATAATTCTCCTATTTAAGGCCCTACTCTGCCTTGAATTACCAGCATTCTCCATCATCAATTCTCTGTGGTGGCCCCAAAATCAAATTGTAAATGAAAATAAGCATAATTAGAATAAAATTAAACAAATGGCAATTTCTAGAGAGCACAGTAATAAGGTGATTCTTGAATTTTCCACTTCCAATCTAAATGTCTTATTTTTGATTGAACTGAAGAAGTGACCCTAATATGATGCTCGAAATGTAGCTCATCATACCCTTGAGCATCCAATTCTTTTCTCTTGATACCTTTTATTCTTTTATATATATATATATAATTATTATAATAATAACTTTTTCTTCATTTTTACTATTTTGATTTGAAAAATAAAAGTATTTGAATTAACAGTTTCAAATGTAGT